GCCGGGGACGGGGCCGGCCTCGCGCGGGGCACCACGGGAACGGGAGTCCGAAACCGGTCGTCCGTCACGCTTGGACCGCGCCTGGAGAGCTTAGACCCCTCATCTCGACCCGAGAGGGCTGAGGCGCAGAGGCCTTCGGGAAATGTAGTCCAGCCCCCTCGCCTCTACCGCCCGGAGCTAGGGCCGCGAGAGCTGGCTCTATGGGGTCCGACGGGACCCAGAAAGCCCGCTCCCGGGCCGCCGGGAGGTGTGGTTCTCGCCCCAGGCTCCTCCCATTGTTCAGATCGAGGCTGGTGGAGCTCTCGGACTACCACTCCCAGGGTGCAATGGGGTTCGGTCCTTGGGAACCCCGGAGGCTCGGAGAACTGAAGTTCGCCACTGCAGGAGGCGTGGGCTGGGGACGGGACGGGCGTACGGCGGTGGTCCCGGTTGCAGGCACGCCCCTCGGGCTGATTCGCACTGCACGGAGGGAGGGGCCGGAGGCCGCGCCGTGGCGACCCTTGTGCTCAGAAGAGGCGGCGCCCCGAAAGCACGCGATCTTTTGGCCTGGGCCGGGGCGTCCAGACTCGGACCCCGCGCGCTGCAGCACGCTGTGGAAGGCCTCCCTCCGGGCGGTGCTGCTCCCTCTGCCTGGACACCGAGCCCTCGCGCCCGGTGCCTCCAGGGGAGGACTGGGAGCCCCAGAGGATGGACGAGGTAGTCGCCGCGTCGAACGGCGGACGCGGGCCACCAGGGGCCGCTACAGGATAAGGGGCAAGGCTGGGTACCCGCCTCCACCCCCGCGCACAGACCGCAGTGTGGACTTGGCTTTCTTGTCCGAGAGGAGGCACAGGAAACTCTTTTATTTGGGGTGATGAAAAACCGCCAGGCCCCACACAGTTAACTTTCACTCTTGCAAACTTCACTGTCTCCTCACCCCGCACGGGCTCGCTGGCCCAGGCTTCTGCTTCCCGCGGTCATCTGGTGAGGACTCTGGTGCCCTTTTCTGCGGCGGCTTCTGGGAGCAGAATTTGCTAGGCTGCCCTAGCCGCGGTGCCGGACCAGAAGCCTCGCCTGCCCGCCGGCCCGTCTTTTGTATTCCTGACTGAGGCCAAAGAAGCTGCCGACACTCGGTCAAGTGGTGGAGGAAGGGGAACTGCAAGGAGAGGCCGAGGCCCTGGCCGGGCGCGAGGAGGAAGAGGAGGAGGAGGAGTAGAGGAAGGTGGAGCGAATGGTCCATCCGGGCGGGAGCTGGCTGGGCGAGTGGCCGCGCATGTGCGCCTGCATGGAGGCCAGGCTGGGGCAGCCGGCCCCGCACAGAGGGCAGCGGTAGGGGGCCGCCCCATGCGTCCGCAGGTGTTTGGTCATGGCCGAGAAGTCCCGGGAGCGCTGGGGACAGAGGCGGCAGGAGAAGGGCTTCTCTCCTAGGACGGGTGGAGAGCACGCCGGTGAATGAAAAAAGGGGGCTGGTCTCCGGGTAGATAGCGCCACTGGCGGGGAGTCGTGCTCTGGGTGGCAGACTAGTTTGGAAGGAAGCAGACAATTCAGACTGGCCAGGGAGCCTGTACCTGTATGGACTCGGTAATGTGTCTCCATCTGATGCTTGAGTGAAAACCTCTTTCCACAGACTGAACAAGTATAAGGCCGAGATCGAGCAGGAGGCGGCTGGGGAGGGTGTTGGCGAGACAGGTGGCCTGCTGTGCCCACGTGACCCACATGGGTTGCAAGTGCATCTGTGGGGATAGAGAAGGAAGGCAAAGGCGGGCTGGGCTAGGAATCCCAGAGCCAGGTCACAGCAACACCAGACAAGACATCAGGGCCTCTTCAGCGGGGCTGAGGCAAAAACGTGCCTGCGCTACTCACCTGTGTGCCTGGGACTAGCGTCTTCCATCTCCCCATGTCTGAGCTGTGCCAGGCCCTGGGGGAAGGACCCTAGAGGGAGCAGAATGAAGTCGGGGCCCCGCTCCGTTTCGAGTCCTGGACCCCCAGCCCCGTCGGAGCCCACATTGTTGTGTTCCTGCAGGCAATGAGGGGCTTACCTGGGACTGGGTGGGAGCAGGCCATCTGGTTCTGGTTCCAGAGCCCTTTGTGGGGGTTTAAGGGTGGTGGAATCCTGGGGAGGGGTGGGTTGGCGAAGGGGAAGAGTTACAGCCTTGGCAAGACCTGGGATCCCGGCCAAGCCCCTTCCTGAGCCCTCCAGAGCTGGGCTTTGGCTTTTGTGCTGGGAACTTGCCCTAGTCCCAGCTCAGGAGAGGTACACAAGAGAAGACTGGGGGGTCCCAGTCTACTGGTCACTGCTGCCTCTCCTGAGCCATTCCCTTCCAGCCAGGGAGCGCTTCACTCACCTCTGGTCCCAAGGCCAGACCTCCTGCCAGGCTCCACTGAGGGGGGCGCTATGGGGGAAGGGAGTGCCGTAGCTGGGCCGCAACAGCAGGATGCTCCACAGGGCAGGCTGGCCCTCCCTGGGCCAAGGCGCCCCGGCCCCCCAAGGCCTGGGAATGCCACTGGTGTGAAGGGAACCTGGTGGGGGAGGGGAGCCAGGGCCCTCCCGATTTCCCCCAGGGCCGGCTACACTCTCCCTCACCCACATGACCACTTCTTGCTCCCCGTCTGCTTCTCTGTGGCCAACCCAGGGCTGGCTGGATTCCTTCTCCTCTGATCTCCTCTGCTCGCCCTGGCACTCCTGCATTACCTCTGCCATTTCAGGGCTCTCTCTTGGTAGCCTGTGCTTGCGGAAGGCCTCCTGTTCTCTCCCACCAGCTCCAACACATTTCTCTGGTCTCTGCTGCTCCCCGTGGCCCCCCGGTCCTCTCTCAGAATCCCCTGTGCATGTCTCTGACTCCTGATGTTCCTTCAGTCCTAGGTCCAGCTCTTGTCTAGCCCTGTCCCTTCGAGCCTTCTTGCACGCCTCTTCCAGGGCCTGCACCCCCAAGGCCCTGGCTGCCTCCTCAAGGGGCCCCAGTTCCCCAGGCTGCAGCTCAACACTCTCCCCGTAGACAAAGAACAGAAGCTGGGCAAAGGTGGAAGGACTGATGCCTTTCACCAGAGCCCAGTGGCCCCGGCGGCCCAGCTGCTGGCTCACTCCTGCTAGTACCAGGCTGTGGGCAGGGAACTCCTGGCTCCCCACGGTGATCAGGGTGTCACACAGGGCTGGTCGGAGCCTGGCTGCCAGACGTACCAGCCGGTCAGAGCCGTAGGGGCTAGGCAGTCTTGTTGGGAACTGAGGCATTTTGCTTTGCTGGGGTGCCAATCCAGAGCTTCTGCGAGAAGAACTACAGTGTGGGGTCCATGGTGGGGAGGGGAGGAAGGCACAGCATGCTCTCAAGCCTGCAGAGGTGACGGGAGAAAGAATGAGCGGCTAGTTCCGGTCCAGAGCTCTCTGTCCTGAAGGAAGCAAATAGGCCAACCCCAAGGAGGACCTGAGCTTGTCCAAATCATAACGGACCGGGAATGGAATTAGGCCACATTCAGGGCTGACGGGCAAGGATTAGACAGCTAACAGTGGCAAGTAGTGACTGGAGACTGAGGCAGATGGTCCTGTGAGTGGGCAGCTTCTCACTTAGGGGAGCAGACGCTGATGCTTCTGCTGCGGGAAGACTGAGCAGGGCAGGCTCTTCGCATTCCAGTCAGAGAGCACTCTGGCAAGACACGGCTTCATGGGGGAACTTAGGAAGCCTGTGTGGGCCCCTCCCTGGTGGCACAACAGGTCAAAGTGCAGCACTATGAAGCTGTCCATAGCCACTACAGCACGAGTTTGATCCCCGGCCAGGGAGCTGACCCCCAGGGCGCAGCAGACCTCTCCTGTCTCCCCGCTGCTCCCCTCAGCAGTGTGTTTCAGTAAATCCGCCTGTTTTGCTCTCCACTCTGTCTCTGGTGAATCCTCTTGACACCCCCCGCCCGAATCTCTGACTGTACCCCAGATCTTGTGTGCAAAAATAAATAAATCTCTAAAATAGAAAGCTCAGATGACCTCCCCCACCCAGCCCACGGACTGAGGGGATCCTCAGAGGACAGAAGGGCAGCAGGCCAGGCAGGGAACTGCAGTCTCTAAGGCATTGATCCATCACCTCCCCGAGGCTGAAGCTTCTAGAACAGGTCCTCAAAGAAGCTAGAAGGAAGGAGTCTAAGGCTCCTAGAGAGTCAGTTAAACAGCAGGCTCAGAAGCCACGAGAGAGAAGCCTCCCTACCCAGGAATGGAGAGGGCTTTCCGAAAAGGCTTTGACCCTGGGAGCAAACAGGAGAGAGGGAAGCAGGAGCTGTAAAGGGAGAGGCTATTTAGTGTCGCTTTTTATAAACCAAAAGTGAAGAACAGAAAAACAACCCAACAAGACAGCAGTTTACAGCACATCAAAACCACCACATTGGCTTTTGAACAGATTTGGGACCCCAGATGCAAAAAGACCTAAGCCTCTCAGTGCCCAGCAGGTGTGTTCCCAGGTGTGGGCACATGGTGAGTGAGGAGGGAGGGTTACCACTGGGGCACCTTGGGAGAGAGCTCCAGGTTGGCAGGAAGTGGGCAGAGAGGGGCATAATGGGAGAAAAGTCTCCTCTGGAGAGCTGCAGCTACTCACCGGTTGTAGTTTCCTCCTGGACACCACTTGCTCTGAGCTGTTGGGGCTCCTGGGCACCCCCTGGAGCTAGCCCCGCCCTTGACCTCACAGTCTTCCATTGGATGCCCCAGTATCAGTCTGCTGTAGTCCCCCAGAGGGGTGTGGTTTTATACCCCTGACTTTGAGACACCCCTGGGGAGAGACCACCCCCTCCATTTCTAGAATGCAGGCTTTCTGCCTTTTCACCCGTGATTCATCTGTGAATTAGTCAAAGACTGGGGCGGCAGGGACTTTGGAGTAATCAGACCTGCTTTTGAGTGTCAGCGTTGCCATTTACTAATTGAGTCACCCTGGGCAAGTCACACCCCCCCCAACCCCAGCCTCAGTTATCTCTTTCAAGAAACGGGGTAACCTCTGCATCCCCCATCTGGAGGCAGGGGTGAAGATGCCATCCACGACCTGGAAGGGGCTTGCTGGCCATCTGTCTCGCTTTGTCGCTTAGTGGTGTCTGCCGAGCGCTCGAGCTGGAAGCTGTTTCTGATTTATGCCTCTGGTTAGAAGAAGCTGACCCCAAGGAGAGTCAAACAGGACAGAAGCACGCCTGCCTGCCCCTGCTGCTCCCTGGGGGGCTCACGAAGCCCCAGCTGTTCCGCAGAAGGGACCCCTGCCATTTGGGTCACTGGGGACTGGGTGTGACTGACTCAGATCCTCCCATCAAGCTCTGGAGGGGCAACCCCAAGTAGGGCCTGTGGTGGTCTTCGAAGAGAAAAACTCCTTTTCTCGGGTTGATGACAAATGACATTTCTCTGAAATCAGAACTCCGGGTTTCTTTCACTTCCTGCCCAAGGGGTCAAGATCCTCAGAGTTTCCCCCTCTTTAGCATTCTTTAACCTGGGGAAAGGAGGGATGGGGGGGTGCAACTCTTCCTAGTCAGCTCTCTCCTCCTTCATGCAGTCATTTAATTCCCCCGGAATCACGCACTCGTCTGGCCTGCCGGGCTGCCGCTCCGGGATCCTCCGCGCAGCCTTCGCTCTCGCCCTCCGGCCCTAACTGCCTTTCCTCTGCGCTCAGTCTAGCTTGGGTGCAGGCAGATGTTGAGCCTTCCTAGAACAGAAAGGGTGCTCCAGTGGGTGAGGCTGGTGGAGGGGCAAGAATAGGGTGGGGAGAGGGGAAGATGAGTCAGAGTGAAAGGGAAAATGCAAATGGGCAAGCTGTATTCATTTGCTGCTCTGCACGTTAAATATTTTCCATTTCTGAGCCTTCAAACTTGTCACACTACCACACCCAGGGACTCACTAACACGGGTAGAAAAAAAAACACTGGGCCTGGCACGTAAAAGACACCGACCCTGCCATGTGGTATCCAGAGGGAAACAGCTTCCCCCACAACGCCCCTCCTCGGACACAGAGACCAGTCCCCGAACTTGTGGGGGAAGCGGGGGAAGCGTGAGGGAGAAACCCCAAGCGGAGGAGGACAGACACAGGGGCCTGGCAGGTGACACCACCGGGGGACAGTGGCCCTGGCCCCCCAGCACTGCATCACGTGCCTGTGACTAAGATCACCCCTGTGCGGCTTGCCTTCTGAAGCCTACTGCTGAGCGAGAGAGCTGGAAACTACTGAAAGGGCAGCTCCTCCCTAAGGCAAGTGTAGTTAACAGTTAATAGGGTGTCATCAGCCATTCAGGGAACCTCAGAGGGAGGAGAGGGGCAAGGGGACTCCCCACTCAGTGAGCAAAAGCCCCCGACAATGGGAAACCCCATCTTGGTGTCTACCTCATCTAAGGATATCCCTTCAGAGATCGCCACCTTGGAGGCATCTCCTCTCTTCACATTCTTTTTTTCTTTTTAAAGATTTATTTATGCATACAATTGTTGGGGTATAGGTCAGAGGTGCAGGGGGGTGGGAGGAGTCACCAGAGACAGAGGGGAGCAGCAGGGAGAGGTCTGCTGCGGCCTGTGGGTCCCTCCCTGCCTGGGGATGGGGTGAGTACAGTTAGCTTCATAGCTGAGCCTTAACCCCTCCGCCACCAGGGAGGTCCCACTCCTCACATTCTTTTTTTTTAAGATTTATTTGTGCATACAGACCCAGGGTACAGGCCAGAGGTGCAGGGGCAGTGAGAGGCTTCACCAGGG